AAAGAAATCTATTTTTCTTCGGAATATCTAATACATATCTTATTTTGTGGTTTTCCACAGAGTAGCAAGTAGAAAGCAAAATTAATTTGGAATTGTATATAGACTTTGGCTTGAAAAGAAGATATAAGTGTAAAAAATAACCAAAGTACATTATTTCAAGTTAAATTTTGAATTGTATTCTACAAACATAAGTTTTAACCTGTAACATCTAGGTAAGCTGGAGCCCAGTTGTACCATTTCTTCCAAACTCTGCATTCGTGTGCCCATGGTGGGAGTTATTTACAAGACAGTGAAAATCATGGCTTCCTCTGGTCCTAAGATCTGGTTGTTAAACTTTCACTGTGGCACCCTTGAATGTGCCTAAGTAATTGTCATTTTAAAGGTCAAAGAATAGCTTTAGGTTTCATTGAAGTTAGAGAACTAATACACAGTAGTGATGAAAATCAGAGGCAGTAGAGCCAGATTGTCTTGAGTTCAAATACCAGTTCTGTACTTACTAGCTTGTATTATGCTAGGCAAGTTAGTCAGTGTTATCTTTCATGGGAACAACAGCAATGCCTGCCTTAGAGAGTTGATGTGAGGATTAAGTATGTTAAAGACCTCGTTTATAATCTTATCTGGCAACCTCAGTTATCCAGGGTTCAGGAAGTAAACAAAAACATCACTGAGCAACCAATAAAAATGTCAGAGGGCACTTACATGAAAGCCCTTAAATTCTTTCTGGAGGCCTGTTTCATTCATTCTGTAGACCAAAGCTTAATTGTTTCTTCTCAGCTAATAGTAGGTTAGAAGCATAAAATTAGCTATTAAGGAAAATTGCTGCTAGAAACAACAAGTGAGAACCTCTTCCTCAAGGAAATTTGCCCAATCTAAGAATTAAAAAATGAGTCAGACTGGATGATCTATAAGGTCCTTTCATCGCCAAAAACATATGACTTCATAACAGGTTGGAGACAAATAATCTTACTACTGTATTAATTAATGACTTGCAAAGATGATCCAGTGTCAGTAATAAATAAGAATCAGATTATCAGGCAATATTAGATAACTTTTTAAATGTCCATTCAAAATTATTAATTATTATAGAGCTTCATGGGATAAAAACATTTTTGAGTGCTATAGAGTTAATAAACAGATTATCTATAAACTTCACATCAGTCCCCTGGAGCAAGAGTTCTATGCATTAAAGTGTAATGGGATCATCTAACCTATTAGGGTGGTTTTCTTTTGCTGTGTTTTTCCAAATGGACGGTAGGGCCTAAGTGTCCTTTTGAATCTGTGCTTCAAAACAAGAGCTTATACTAGTATTCTGCTGCTTTTTTGCATCTAAGCAACTTAGCTGTAATCATCCATTTTTTAAAAAGTGGGCCTCACAATCGATAAAACTACAACAGTATATTTTATTTTGCTAATTTTCTTTAAAATGTATTTTAAGCACTTTTGTCAAAAGTTGTAGCATTTTAATACAAATAAAAATTTTGTGTTTGTAATATTTAGGTTATAAAACATTTAAATTGAAGTAAAAAATTATCAGGGCAATTGATAATTGTGTCTACTGAGGAACCTATATACTTTTATAAAGGAAATCACTTGTAGGTATTTAGTCAGTACAAGATATACGTCTATTTGCAGAAATAAAATGCTGCATTTGTACTCAAATGTATTTTTGTTAATCTCTGGAATGTTCTGTACAAAGCTGATTCTTTTGGGCTAGATACATTTTTTAAAATATGGACCTACCCACGTATATTTGACCAGGTCAAAAATGCTGTGTTATTTAAAACTTGATTGTGTAAAAGTTATTAAATTTAAGTATTTGTATAAAGCTGTTTGTTACTTATAAATTTTATTTATGTGCAACATCTAATGTCCTAACAATGGCAGATAAGGAAGGAATTACTGTGTAGCTAAGAGATTCTTCTTGCCCTTAAAAGGTTCTTAATTTTGACAGGGAGTAAAACATGCATCTGAGATGCAAAGTAAAATGAAGTCTTAGATAGGGTTTAGAAGCAAAGAGACAACTGAACAAAGACAGAACTTTTACTTTTTCACTTGGAACTTAGGAATACTAACTAGGGGCAGCATTTGAGTTGGTACTTGAGTTATAAATACATAGACAAGTAGAAGAGGAAGGAGTGTTAGAGAAGATATAGGACATTTTAGGAACTGAGGGAGCTGAAGGAACAAAGAGAGAATTATGAAAAGTGAATGGCAATAGGCTGCCCCATGTGACTGTATCTGAGTATTCATGAGGTTGGGATGTAGTAAAGAGCTCTAAACCTGTAAAAATCATCGAGACAAGATCATATAAAGCTTTGCAAAAGGAGTCAGGGAGTCAGATTTTAATGAGTGATAAAGAATTACTAGAGGCTTCTAAGCAGGGAAGAGGCATGATCCGATCAAGTGATGGCAAGAATCAAACAAGGAAAGTAAACTTGGATGAAATATAAGGGGAGAGAAGACACTGGATGTAGGGAACCAGTTAGGAAGTTACTGAGCTAGAATAGACAAAGGAAATTATGAAGACTTATACTAAGACAGCAGGGATAGAAAGAAAGATCTCATCATGAGAGACACAAAGGAAACAAGTAGAATCTATGTGACTGAGTAGGTATGCACTGAAGATTCAAACATGATTCTGTAGTTACTGAACAGTTGACCCAAAAGGTTATGATGCCATTAACTGCAATTGGGATCGCTGGAGAAGGAGCAGTTTTTAGATAGCTGCAAAGGTGTGCGGAGAAGGAGATGTAGTGCTTAGAAATGTCTCTTATGTGATAAGTCAGCTAATTCAGTAGAACTCTTAGTGTTGGATAATATATAGTGTGTGTGAATATGGACTGTGAGGCCTGAAACACAGCATTGTTCTTGACTACGTTTTTAAAACTCTCCATATGACTGCAATGGCCAATACGTTTCAGAGCATTTGTGCCGGCCACTCACCTCATATCTGCTAAAAGCATAATAACTTATTTTTATTAGCTAAAACTCCTATTAGAAGATTACACCTGTAATTTACAGAGAAATCTTTATAATTAAAGTACATTCCAAAGCCTGATTTTTTTAGAATGTGTATGCTTTCAAAGATTATGCATGTTATAATATCAGAAATAAATGCCATTGTTAGAAATTTAAAGCCCCAGATAAATAGAACAAGAGTCACTCTCCTGCAAAATTACCAGTTCTCCAGAGGATATTGGCATAAAACTTCCAGTATCTTCATAGTGGAAAAAGATATACCGGAAAGTACCTACATTTCAGATTCTTTCACTTCCCATTACTTTGAGATTTTCCCCATGTAAATGAGAACAGAGTGAGTCATTAACCTGTATCAAATGGAGTGATTCCACATTGATCATTAGCATTATAAAAGGGTTTAACTAAGTGGCTTTTGTAATGTAAAATAGTATTTTTGGAACTTTAAGGATCTGAAATGATACCCTTGTAATATATTTTTCAATTAATAATTTCAGATAAGGAGAGGAACAAAACTAAAGTACTCTGAGGTATTTCTATTTGGTCTGATCTTTTGAAGACTTTAGTACTAAGAACCATAAATTTAAGGGATTACTTGGGTAAAAATTCTACAATATACATTTCCGTTTAGGATTTATTCTCCTTATTTTGATCATTAAAAATGTGAATACTATTTTAATATTGTGCCTTAGTGTTTAAATTGTAGTCTAAAGGTCTTTTTACAGTCTTGTTTGTGCATGGTTGTTTATTTCAAATTGGAGTTTGATCATTAACCTAGAGTAGTACCTTAACCTAATAGCAGTAGGAGGTTTCTCTGGTGAGCAATACCTTCACATTCAAAGAGCTCTATTCTATACTTGGATTATTGCTCTGAGGTCATATAAACTAGAAAGAATATAAACTTTGATAAGCATTGGAATGGCATTCTTGGAATATTGGAAAAGATATTATTTGTCTTTTTCACCCACAAAATATATATCTATATTTGAGAGTAGAAAGAGGGCTATTAATTTAAGACTTGTCCTTAATTAGTGCTGAGTAAAAAGATACATTTCTGTCAATTCTATATGTTATCTTCCTTCATAACCTATCAGGTCCATGCAATACCTTAGAGTATCTTGAACAAATTTTATATTGCTTTTCAAGACATAGGAAGATGGCATATCACAGATACATGATAACCTCATAAATCAGAAAATATATAATTAAATGTTTTTATATTTCCTAAATCTCAGATTTACTAGAATGTAAGCCATATCTTCTAGCAGCCAGGGCCTATTTGTTATTGAACAAGCCTTCATGTAAGATGCAAATTGGGCCATAAAGGCAATTAATCTGTTGACTTATAGCTAATTAATATGAGGAAGGGAGAGGTATCTGTTGCATATAATAACTTCCTTACTGACCTATGAGTTCCCTAATATTAGTAACAGAACCTCATGGATGTTTATATCCCCTACAAATTATTTTTACATCAGGTGCTCAATAAATATTAATAAATACATAAATATCCTTCTTTTGTCCTGCTGGGGGTCATTTTAAATCATTTTAACAATTAATTTTTTATGTTAAAAATACTACATTAAAACAATTCATTTTCTTTTACAGGTGCAGGAGACATTGTTGCAATCATGATTGGCAATCTTAAAGGAACAAAAATTCTACAATCTATTCAAAGAGGCATACAAGTAACAATGGTCATCGAAGTAGGGAAAAAGCACGGCCCTTGGGTGAATCACTATTCAATTTTCTTTGTTTCTGTATCCTTTTTTATTATTACGGCAGCAACTGTGGGATATTTTATCTTTTACTCTGCTCGAAGACTACGGAATGCAAGGGCTCAAAGCAGGAAGCAGGTTAGTAATACTCCTTTCTTCTAATTTGCAATGTTTTTACTTTTTAATTATAGTTTTAGTCACATATTTCAATATACTTCAGTTACTAGACACTGATCTATGCATGTTTGGTGAAATCTAATAGTTTTTTAAACTATGTCAGCTTCCATCTTCTCAAATCTTTTATGTACTATAATTTGTCCTGCTTGATGAAATCTTTAACACCTCCATCAGGAGTACAGCCAACATTTAATTATAACTTGTGTAAATACGTATGTTCTCTTATATAAACATTTTTCTAAATTACAAAAGCATTTTGTACTCAATAAAGAAACTTTAGAAAGTACAGAGGAAAATACTTTCATAAAACCAAATATAACAAATTAACTGTAGTCACTGCCCAAAGGTAAACACTCTTATTTTATATGTACATTTTCAGGTGGAAGTGGAGCAGAGATGAGATTAGACTGAATTTCATGAGTCCACAGGTTTAAAGATTTAGTTGTGATAGTTAAGATAGTTATACAACTACTTTCTCTTAGGTCACTGAAAAGAAAGGTTTCTGCTAATATTATTTGAACAAGATATCATGCCTATATCTTGTACTCTGAATAACTACTAGGAAGACAACAATATGCAATGTATTTATTATCGTAACTCTCCTACTAATCTGTTTTGAAACTCTGTTCTATCGTTATTTTTATTTTTTTCTCTTTAAAATAAAAAAAGATCTAATTGTGCATGATACAGTGCTGGGCTATAAACCAAGTCACATATTCATATTTTTTACTATATTGTAACACCAACTTAAAAAAGATACAAAGTATAGAAATAGGAAAGCAAAGACACCAATAATTATTAAACAGAACAGTCCCTGTAAGTCTGCGTTGTTGGTCTTCCCACCCTATCAATTGTCCCTCATCTCCCTCATGTCCTTTTTTTCTTATTCACCTTAAATTTTGTGGCCACTTCCATGCATACCTCTTCTGTTCCCTTTGCACTTCTTTTTTGTTGTATAGCTGTCCCTTTGGTATCCAAAGGTGATTGATTCCAGGACCTCCCCCTGGGTACCAAATCTGCAGATGTGCAAGTACCTCATATAAAATGGTGCAGTATTTGATTAAAACCTATGCACATCCTTCCATATATTTTAAATCATCTCTGGATTACTTATAATACCTAATTTAGCATCAATGCTATGTATATAGCTATTGGACTGTGTAGAGAATAGTGGCAATGAAAAAGTCCGTCCATGTTCAATAGAGGTGCAGTTGTTTCATTCTGAATATTTTCAGTCTGAGGTTTGTTGAACCTGCATGCAGAATACACAAATATGAAAAGTGAGCTTTACTTACTGGCAAAATTAAACCCTGGTTAACCTCAACTTCCTACCTACTCTATGTACCTTGCATAGGTAAAATACCAGAAAAATTTACAGATATAATGACTTCACTTTAAATTTATTACCACAAACTCAGAGTGGATCCTGAATTCTGCCCGGTAGTCATATTGTTTTCTTAGCCATTTCTTCTCCTACTTTCCTAGGTGACTAATCACACACGTTCCTTTCTCCTTAAACCTCCAACACCTCCTCCAACTGTACACTCCACTTGTATCTTAGTCAACTGACAAAATGGGAGCAATCAAAAGCATAATTTCTTATAAGTAATTTTGAGAAATTTCCTTCTGAATAAAATGTATGCATATTGATGAAACTTCGGAAAACACAAAAATGTTTAAATAAAATGACGTGTTCATAATTTAAAGACTAAAACTAAAAATCATATGTCCACATCCGCCCATCTATTTGCATCTAAGTCTACATCTTATTCCTTGTCTTCTCTTGCTATGCATGAGCTGCTCCTTTGCAAAGGTCAGCCCTTTCCCTCATGTACAGTATTCTCTTTGTCTTTTGCACATTCAAGTACATCACTCCAGTAATTGTCCTCTTTCTCTACTCTACATGTAACAGTGTTTTCTTCTCTTCTGTATCTTTCCCATCAACACAAACCCATACTATTATTGCTCCCATTTTCAAAATAACTTCTCTTGACTCCAGGTGAAAAGCCTTGAAATTATTCTTCATTACTTGTTTTCCCCTAACTTCCTACAAAATACCGATTAGAAAATCCTGTTGGTTCTACCTTCATTATATATCAAAATCTGATTCTTTCTCACTACTTCCACTGTCTCTGCCCTCATCCATGCCACCATCATTTCTTTTTTTGTTTGTTTGTTTTCTGGTACCGGGAATCGAACTCACAGCCTTGCACTTGTCAGGCAGGTGCTGTGCCGCTGAGCTAAATCCCCAGCCCCTGCCACCATCGTTTCATATTCCTATTCCTTTCAAGTACTCCTAACACAACAGCATAGTGGCACACCACGTCTCCAGAATGCTCAAGAGAAATTTAATGCTTCCAAGTGATCTTATAGTGGAGAAAACAGAATAGATTTTATATTTACTGAGAAATTCCTGTAAATAGGCAGTGAATTTTTGAGCCACTTCATTCACTCTTTCTTCAAAAGGCAAAAAAGAATTTAATTTATTTGGGAGTGGGAGGAGTGGTGAGGATTTTCATATAGTAAGAAAGTTAACTAAATTTAAGAATAGATGAGAAATTAAAGTTTTATTATGAAAATGTCACAATGATTAGATATCTGTATGTGGTAATAAGTGATGATTATGTCAGTGTTTAAAGTTAAATGACTTTTGTCCTTCTCAGGGCAACAGCTTATCACATTTGTGGCAGGTTCAGCCTGTTACTAGCTGTGGTCAAAAGGATGTTCAAAATTCCTGTGCCAGCCTACTCAACAGCTTCACATTATGTTAATATTTGATATTTGTATATCATGCTGTTTTTATCTCTGAGGTTCGATAGAATTCGCTACCTGGTACGATTATTCAATGGTTATAGTTACAATGACAAAAATTTATTGGTTTGTGTTTCCGTAAGGGCTCTCAGGCATGTGTTACTGTATTGTACGTATTGTACTATATAATAAATGTATTAACTCCATTAGCAAATAATAGAGTTTCAAAAGAATTTTGGTGTTGTACAAACTTCACTGGATATTTAGCTCTGATCCCATTTTTCATTTAAGTAATTTTCATAGTTTGTAATGTATTTTATGAAAACTAACCTCGACAGAATTGGTCAAGAATAGAATTAACACTTCTTGTCTATTAGAGAAGGTGTTTGAAAGGGCATCTTATACTTCCTAATGGACTGTGTTTATCCTTTGGGGACACAATATCACTGATAATCACTTTTACTTATAAATATTTGAAAGTGCCATAATGTCATTTATATATTTAACTTTTATGACTTATGATTTACTTTTAAAAGGTAGAGCTTACTATATATAATATTTATAACTGTCACTAAAGATTTAACTGCATTATCTTCATTTTACTGATAGAAATGGTGATGAAGTTGACTTATGGAAATTTTCCTTCATTAGAATATTAAGAAAAAATAAACTCAGTAATTTCATTCCTCTGAAGATTATGATTTATAGTGTATAATGCCACACAAATTGGTAACTGTGCAACCATGACTTTTGTTGACTGAATGCTCAGATGAGCCCCTCAGTGTCATACTTTGACATGTCATAGAAGATGTGCAAAAGTTCACACTTTCCCATTTTTATGGATGGATATCTTTTAAATAAAATGAAAACTATTGATGGGTTATGAATTAAAATAACAAATTCGGTATTAAAAATTGGATTTGTGGCCTTGCTGAGTACAACCCTAACCTGAGACAGGGAAGAGAAATAAGATGGTGTACTCAAACTAAACTACATGGGGGAGTGACCACAGTTACACTTGATTCTAGTTTGCGGTACCCAACAGTTTGGAGGTACAGCACATGGGTCCTAACTTCATTCAAGAAGTTGCCACTCAGTGGCAGTGTATGTGGTGGATTAAACACAACCCAGTGAAACAGAAGAGGCCGGTAGGTGAAAGAGGGGCTAATCTAAAATTGGATAAGCTGAATTTACTTGTAATGATGAGTAACTTTAAAAAGAAAAAGATTTATTAAAAAATAGACAGCTTGGAAGAAATTACTTTGCAAGAGTAAGGAATAGAATACATTTTTATTGGAAAATATAGTAAAGCCTTAATAAAATGGCCCAACAGATCCAATACACAATGCTAGAAAATGATAGGACTCAACACTGGGGAAGAGCATATACTCTAACACAACAGAATCTGTTAATAATTTTACTTAACATGGAGGCCCAAGTAGTCATGGGGCAATAGCTTTCCATATTTACATGTGAAAGCTCAAGGAAAGAATCTTTGAGACATAAACAAATCCTTCAATTTATAGAATTTTTGTGGTGGGAACTGAAATGTACATTACTGATCTCTGACTGATCTTGACCAGAGAATGGACCAAAATAAGACCAGCTTGTATGATTAGAAGTAATACTGAATGAATGATATCCATGTACTCCCCATGGGAGAAGAGATGACATTACTGTCCAACAGTTAATGGGACTCTGCATCTGTATAAAAATGAGAACTGATACAAATTAATGGCCTTTGCCTCAGCTAAAATATAGAATGTAGAAATTGAAGAATCCTTGTCACTGATGGAAACATTTGTCAATAATAATATTTGGTATATAGGTAAAGGTAAGTCTTCTAGGAAGGTTTAATAAGCACCTCTATGATATTCCATGATTTATTTTATAACTAAACAAAACTCTTTCATAAGGATACAGTAATATGTTATGATACTAGTATTATTGGTAAGATTTAATTACCTTATAGAAAATAAATCATGTGGTATTCAGATGTTTTGGGAAATTGAACTAAGACTTCCTCAAGGTGTAGTCCACATGGAGAGTCATTGGCCTAAGAAAGAATTAAAATGACTTAGTTCGTTACTATATTAAATGACTCTATATAACTTTATCACAAAGTTCAAATGGCCATTAATCCAGAGCAAAAATGGATAACTATATTGCACACCCGTATAAGGATATTTGTGAGAGTCTTACAGATTGGATGAATTGCTCATTTGTACCTATTTCCAACCTTGTTGGCTTATGCAAATACTACATATACTTAATGTTGTTCTAACAGCACTTTGTACATAGGTAAGTAAGTAGGTAGGTAGTAGATAGACATATAATATGCTTATGTATAAATAGTATATACATACATCTTGTATTATACAAATAAACATATATTATAGTATAAATACTATACTAACTGAAGTATAACATGTATACATAATAATTAAATAGTATTTATACATAATCTTTTATATAATATATATGCATAAAAGTGGATACTGCAACACATATTCACTTACTATAGAAGCTAAATTCTGTACTAAGTGAAATATTTCTATATAAGTACTGTACTAACACTTGCTGCCCTGACTATTTTGTTGTGAAAAGGTTAGACCAAGGGCAAGGGGATATATAGCGTAAAAGAGGAACCAGCACAGACCTAGTTGCTTACCCTTTGTATGTCCCCAAGGTAACCACAATTGGACCTTTTCCAAGCCTGGGAATGTGGCCTTCAAAGTGTCCTTTATGTTAGTGAGTGATTATATTGTTCTATACACCTGGAACAACGGATCATGTTGTACCAGCTACTCAAGGTTGTTTTACACAACAATGAAGATTGATGATATAGACCTAGTTTCATTGTTGGGTTCCTGAGTTTGGGACAACATAGCCATTCACCTCTCCAACTGAGTCCTAGACACTGATACTTAAATCGGCTCCTTGGGAAGAAATTAGTCACACATGTCCCTTTGGTTCAGCCCCAGAGATAGCATTAGTGTGTACTCTCAGATGCGGAAGGGCTAGGCTATATTAGTATCTTAAAACTTGCCCTTGAACTTAAAACATTATTAAAAATTAACTAAATTATTTCCACTTACATTGTTTTCTCTACTAGTATATAAAATTAACTGGACGATTCATCAGCTGTCTGTATACTGTACAATTACTAACACATTTTAGTAATTGATGTGCTTGCGTGTGTGTATCTGTTTCTGCCTATACTTAAGAATTGTTCAGGGCCTTTAAAAACCATGAGAATTTTGGCTTAAAGCATGTTAATTATATATTTGTCTAAGTGAGATCTAGCTTCCGAGTGTCTCACTAATCAAAAGGAAAATAATACTGGGTCTTAAAATTGTTATATATTCGCCTAATTTTTCATTTATATCACAGATTCTTTTTTGAGACTTTTTTCTATGCTACTGTGTTAGTTACCTTTCTGTCAGTGTGAAAAAATATCTGGAGTAACCTAAAGGAGGAAAGGTTTGTTTTGTCTTTTACACGGTTTCAGAGGTTTCAGTTCATGGTCACTCAGCCCCATCACTTGAGATCTGTGTAAGGCAGTACATCATACCCAAAGCCTGTGGTGCAGAGAGTTGCTCACCTCATGGCAGCTAGGAGGCAAAGAGAGAGAAAGGAAATGATCAGGGTCCAAATATCCCTTGCAAGGACACACTCGCAATTATGTAACTTCTTCCACTCGGCCAAATTCCTAAATATTCCACTACCTCCCACAATAGCAACACAGGGTAGAGACCAAGCCGTTAGCAACCTGCAGAGGGCTGGGACTACAGATATGCACCACCATGCCTGTCTGTATCACTAATTATTTTCTTCCATCTTTACTGTGGTACAATAAAGTTGTATTTGACAAATAAAAGTTGTATCTATTCAGGATGTATAACATGATGATTTGACATACACTGTGAAATGATTACCACAAATTAATATATCCATCATGTAATTACCATTCTGTGTGTATGTGTGTCTTTATATGTGATAAAGACATGTAAGTTTTATTGTCTCTAAAAATTTCAAGTAAACCATGCTGTACATCAAATCCTCAGAAGTTACTTGTCTTTACTATAAAAGTTGAACTCATAGAAGCAAAGAGCAGAATAGTAGTTGCCAGAGCTTGGGCTTTTGGGGAAAGTAGTTACCAGGAGGCAGGTCGGCTAAAGGGTTCACGTTTGGAATTATGTTGCTAACTCTAAAGCTCTTGATTGTCTTTCCTTGAATACATTTATTTACATATTATGCATAGGCTTCTATTGAACAAGACAGGTTTTTTTTATTTCTGGTAAACCTAAATTGCCACATAGTTCAGACATTGTTTTTCTCCCAAGCATGTATCTGAGAATAAGAATCCTCTTACTATAATTCTTGATTTTAAGTATTTTGTTCTACAAACACCGAGCAAAATTTATGAAAATGTTTGTTTTTAAAAGTCAGTGGCCTCAGTGTGGGAAGATCTAGTTGATTTATATCTACCTTCCTTTCTTGCTTTTCTGCCCCTATTTCCCATCAAGTAATAAAGATTGAATACATACCTACTGTTATTCATGTAGATTTTACTTAAGCTGAACGCTAAATACCCTGTGACCAAAAGCGAGACTGACAAATTACCAGACTAAAACATGTGTTTTACTTAATTGGATATAAATGCATAAATACAATAACTAGAGTATCTTTGCATTCGCTATAATTTTAAAACTTAACATTGTAATAAAAAAAGTAAGAATTGGTTTGACTTTTTACTCTCAGCCCCAATAAATTCCTACTCAGAATAAAAAAATTGTAGATGCGATCTTCAGTGACTAGAGTCATGGGAGCTTTTAAGTAGCCAGAGTAATAATGTGCTTCTGTTAAGAAAACTGACCCACAACTGGTTTTTTAAAATCAGTTTTCAAGTCAACTGCCAAATATTCTTAGGCCAAGTATCTCTCAGGATTAAGAAGGAAGAGAGAGGCTGTTGGTGTAATGTAGTTGCTCTACATTTTCCTAAGACACAGTAAGTAGCCAATTCTAAAAGAATTTTTAAGATTGGATAGTAGCTGACTTTGAGGTTTTTTGCTCCTTGTTTTTTTCACTCATCTTCTTCACAAGGAATGCGAAGCCCTTTAATGGCTTCTTTGCTATGACACAATGAAGGCAGTGAACTACAGTAGAGAGTTCATGGGCTCTTACATCCAGGTAGAACCTGAGCTTGAAGGAATCACAGATCCTCAACTCACCAGCTGCCTGCACCTTAGTCCAGCTTTAGAATCTTACTTTTCTTGTCTATAAAATCTGGCTATTGAAATACCTATTTCACAAGATTGTTAATGATTATTCATGATGACATGTAAAAATCTTAGTTCAGGGCGGGGGATATAGTTCAATGGCACAGCGTCTGCCTGGCAAGTGCAAGGTCCTGAGTTCATTTCCTCAAAAAAAAAATAATAATAATATTAACACAAAAAAAAAATCTTAGTTAAAACTGACACATGGTAGGGGACCAATAAACACTCTCTAAACCTTTCTTTCCCAAAATTTAATAAAGCAGAGGCTTTTAATAAGTAAAACTGAAAAGTGTCTTAGATGAGAAAACTATAAACATCTGTTCATATTTTCTGCATTCAGAAACTATTCTGTGAGCAACTACTAGCCATAATGGGACTTATTTTACAAATACTAAAACCCATTCATCTAACTACTCATAAGCTAGTAAGAGAGAAAGACAAGTGAATAACACAATTACAAAACATGTTAAGAGGTGAAAACAATGTGCTACTAGAATATACAGGTAGAAGGGAATTCTGATATTGTGGCAAGGCACTGGAAAAGTCTCTGAGGTAATTTGTGGAGCAATGCATATATACTCTTGAAGTTCTGGTTTTTAAGGAATAGAACAAAAATTACCATTTGCATTAGTACATATTGTCTATGAGTGTTGAAGTGTATTGTGGAACTGAAAACTTGATTTAATTATTTTCCAGACATCCATATTTAATATAAACTACTTGGTCCTAATGCTGCTGAGTGGGAAGACAGCAGTTTGGAACTCTTACTCTCAATGATTTCTGCCTTTTAATCTTTTCCTCACCTTTTAGTTCTTCTCATGCTCCATCTTCACTTCTGACTGAATTATACATAATGGCTTAATCCTCACTTCCTAAATGAGCCTTGAATATCCATACCCATTTAGATATGTGCTCATTGAAACAAAAAAGATGGCTAGTCTCAGAATCCATCCTCCTTATTAGGCAATAGTGGTTATGGACAGCAATTTATTCTAATATGAATACTATAAAGGTTGGTATCATCCTCATTTTGTAGATGAGTAAATAAGCTCAAAGAATTGACTTATCTAGAGTTATTCATTTAGTAAGAGACAAAATCAGATTTTGAATCGATGTCCAATTGAATCCAAGTCCTATGTGCTTTCTACTAAACATGTTTCAGAAAAGAAATCAGAGGAGATACACTTTAAGGTCATCTGAGCTTGAAAATAGGAAAATTGCTTTGAAAATTCATAGCATCTGAATCCATTTGGAATGGAGACATATAGCTTTAACATTGTAATCCCAAAAAATGCTGTTTAAGAAAGTAAGAAGGGGGCTGGGGATTTAGCTCAGTGGCACAGTGCTTGCCTAGCCAGCACAAGGTCATGAATTCTATTCCCGTTACCGGAAAAAAAAAAAAAAAAAGAAGAAGAAAGTAAGGAAATACAATGAAAAAGCTTCGGTAATTTAAAAAAATCTTGCCTAATATAAAAAAAGGGACATTCATTACAGTTAATTAAATTTTGTTTTAAAATACATGTATACATTGACTTTTACCTGATAAATATTTATTAGTACACTTTATGTTTTTCAGCCTAATTCTTTTAAAAAATTCTTTTTCTAATATTTGCTATCTCTATTACAGAGACAACTAAAAGCAGATGCTAAAAAAGCTATTGGAAGGCTTCAGCTGCGCACACTGAAACAAGGAGACAAGGTGCATTTATTACTTTTAAATGCCATTTATTGTAAAGCAGTGCTTCCAAGCCATTGTTCAAACTAAATACTCTTTCAATATGGTTTTCATTGGCATTTTTAAACCTTATTAGCTTTAAAAATGCATTTAATGCTGGGAGTAGGCTGAATAATGACCTCCAAATATATCTAAGTCCAAATCCCTGGAGCCCATAAACATTACCTTATATGGCAGAAAGGACTTAGCAGATACAATTAAGATAAGGAAATTGAGATAGGAAGATTATTCTGGGTTATTCAGATGGGTCCTAGATATAATCACAGTGTTCTTATAAGGTGAAGGAAGAGGGAGATATGGCAATGGAAACAAGAAGTTGGACTGGCTCAAGGAAGAGGCAAAGATGGCAGACAACCTCTACAGGATGTAAAAGGATTTTCCCCTGAAACTTCAAAGAAAGAACATAGCACCAGCAACAGTAAAAGAATAAAGTTGTGTAGTTTTAAGCCACTAAATTATAGTAACTGCTTCAGCAACAACAGTAAACTAATGCAATGCTCCAGTGCAACTTTGCTTGAAAATTTATTTTCAGACTTAGGGCAGTTGAGAACATCCATTGGTGGATAAAATATGTATCATAAAAATAGCTGTAGAACTCATCAAAATAAAGATATACCATTTACAACAGCATCAAAGGCATTAAATGCTTATATATAAGTTGTCAGATTATCTACAAGATTTATATGCTGAAAATGCAAAAATATTAATGAAATAAATCTAAAAAGAGAAATGCCATGTTTCTAGGTCAGAAAACTCATTGTTAAGGTGTCATTTCCTTCAAAACTAGCGATTCGATGTTTCAATAAAAAATCCTAGTGGGAACGTTTATAAAAATTTACAGGCTGATTCTAATTTTATATGGAAAAGCTAAAGAGCTACAATAAACAAAACAATTTTGATAAATAAATGCAACTTTTGACAATTCATACTACATAATTTGCAGAACTATTTTTTGTTTTGTTTTGAGACAGGGTTTCACTATGCAGTTCAAGCTGGTCTGAACTCATTGTGTAGCCCAGGGTGGCCTCAAACTCATGGCGATCCTCCTGCCTCAGCCTTCAGGGTGCTGGGATTACAGGCATGCAGCACCAAACCCAGCTAAAACTCTTTTAAAACTACAGTAGTCAAGATACTCTGGTATTGGAGAAAGAATAGACTTATGATGAATCAATGAAACAGAACAGAGTCCAGATAGAGACCAGTACATATATGGTTAATTTATTTCCCAGAAAAATTCAAAAGTATCCAATAAAGGAAGAATAGACTTATACAACAAACAGATAACCATAAGAAAAAGGAGAATCTCAATTACAGTGATACTTTGATTCATGAATTCAGTTCTCTTCTCTCTAGTTACAAACTGAACTGGATGAGAACCAAATCAAATTTCTCCATAAGGTCAACATTGAACCTAAGCACTGAATTTTATTCAGTTCTCATTCAATGCGGTTTGTGACCAGAATCATGGAAAAAATCAAGTTCATGAACTGAGGTACCACTGTCATTCTTCATACAATATTTAAAAATTAACTCAAAATAGATTATAGATCTAAAGATAAAACCTAAAACTCAAAATTTTTAGCAGAAAACTTTGAAGAAAAAATCTTCATGATGTGGATCACAAAAACGTCTTCAATATGTCACCAAAAACAAGTACATAAAAGAAGAAATTTGTCAAATTTAAGAATCTATACTCTTTGAAAGACATGGTTAAGACAAAGAAAAGGCAAGGAGTAGACTGGGAGAAAATATTTATGCCTCACCTATTTCTTAAAGGACTGTATCCAGAGAGTATAAAGAATTCTTAACAGTAAGAAAAATCCAACTCAATAAAAAATAGGCAACCAAAACAGACACTACAACAACAAAAATGTACAAGCACATAAAAAGATGCTCAAAATCATTGATCATTAGGGAACTATAGAATTAAAACCACAGTGAGATATCACTGCACATTCATTAGAATAGCTAAAATTAATACAACTGAACATGCCAAGAGCTGATCAAGATGTGAACTAACTGGAACTCATGCATTTTCTGGCAACACTGCAAAGTGGTATGGCCACTTTGAAAAAGAGTCTGGTGTCTACGGCCATACCACCCTGAATGCGCCTGATCTTGTCTGAAAAAGAATTTGGTAATTTCTTATGAAGTTAAAAATACATTTATCAAAGCTAGGCATGGCAGTGCACACCTATAATCCTACTGCCCTGGCGGCTGAGGCAGGAGGATTACTGTAAGTTTGAGGCCAGCCTAGGCTACATAATGAGTTCAAGGCCAGCGTGAACTACATAATGAAGCCCTGTCACAAAAAAAAAAAAGGTACACTTACCATACTAGATATTTACAGTGAAGGGGGAATGCCCTATATTCAAATAAAACCTGTTCTCAATTGTTCATGGAAGCTTTATTCGTAATTATCCAAAACTGGAAAGAACCTGAATGTCCTTCAAGTGGTGAATGGATGAACCATGAAATACCATTTAGCAGTAAAAAGGGTGTGGGAACTCTACTGATACAATAATATGGATGAATCTTTTATATATTATGTTATGTGAAGGAAGTGAGATTCAAAGGATAGATAGTGCATGATTCCATTCATTTTACATTCCAGAAAAGCTCAGCTGTAGAAACTGAAAATAATGGTTGCCAGGGACTGGAAGTGAGAGAAGCTCCATACTCCAAGGAGCATGAACAAATTTGTTGGAGTAATGTTGCTACTGTATATCTTGATTATAGTAGGAGCGAAACACTTGCATATTTCAAAATTTGCAGAACTGTACACTAAAAGTAAATTTTACTGTATGTAAATTACACCTTATTTTAAAATAAGAAACATAAAATTGTACAAATGACATTTTATGAATTCTAAAATCAGGAAAAAGAGTTTAAATCAGTGCTGTATGATTGTTTTGTTCCTTTTTTGTTGACTTTATTGTTTTATCCATTTTAAGTCTAAATAAATTTAAATGACCTATTGAAACTTTATAGCTAGTCACTTAGTGAAAGGATTTCTATAGGAATTTATGGTAGTTGAATATACATGTATTCTGATTTTGCTCCAAAGTTTAATTCATTTTTTCTTACTTATCAGAGTAATAATAACTGTTTGCTCATAGGAAATCGGCCCTGATGGAGATAGTTGTGCTGTGTGTATTGAACTATATAAGCCAAATGATTTGGTGCGCATCTTAACTTGCAAGTGAGTTTATTTTTGCTTTATACCATCAACTGAAATTGATGACACACAAAAGTGATTATGATAGAAAAACTATTTTAAATGTTTCCAAATTGATTTAGATTTAAATACAGAAAAATGCTTTATCTTTTAATAACACAGTAATTGATACTGTCTAGTTGTATAGCTTCCATAACTGGGTACAACTTATTATAAACTAATTCCATGGAAAATTTAGAACCTTGCTAGTACTGGATTATTTAATGTTATATTTAATCCAGAGCCAGGCGTGGTGGAGCATGCCTGTAATCCCAACACTCAGGAAGTTGAGACAGGAGGACTGCAGTGAGTTTGAGGCCAGCCTGGTCTACATAGTGAGTTCAAGGTCAGCCTAAACTACATAGCAAGACCCTGTCTCAGAAAAACAACAAAAAATTCATTCCAACAATTCCCTTAAGAAAAAATAAACTTATGAGCACCTGTTTGAAATTCTTCACTCTTACACCACCACCACCACCACCACCATCATCATCAGCCCTCTCTTTAAGGGTGTTCTTAACACTCTTGACACTCTTTTTTTTTTTTTTTTGGTTTTTCTCCGGTACTGGGAACCGAACTCACGACCTTGCACTTACCAGGCAGGCGCTTTGCCGCTGAGCTAAATCCCCAGCCCCACTCTTGACACTCTTAGCTATTAAATATTGGTGCTCTTGAAACATAGCACATTGCCTAAAGCACCAATATTACGTTGTACTCAGTACTATATTATACTCTGTTATGAGAATGACTATAAAATTTTACAGTTAAGTAATTGACTATTTCAAATTGTAACATTTGAATTATTTAAATCAGGTAATAACCATCTTCAAGTAATGAGAACTGAAAATAGTTGTTTTTGGAAACTAGGGTAATGAGACTTTTATATTTAAAAATACTGTATTGGGCAGGGGATATAGCTCATTGGTACAAGCACCTGCCTAGCAAGTGCAAGGTCCTGAGTTCAATTTGTGGTACCAAAAAAAGGAAAAAAAAAAGAATGACTTAAATAAAAAATAAAAATACTGTATTATGAACTTTGCAAATTTTGTACCTTTGGCTTCTGCTTTGTATTAATAGTGTGTTTCAAATGGTGAAAAGACATCAAATCAAAGACAAAGTCATGATAAAATCTGGTACTATACATTAAGGAAAGTGCTGTTGTGTTTTACATCTGACAACTAATTGTATTTTCTCCTTCATTAGCCATATTTTCCATAAGATATGTGTGGACCCATGGCTGTTAGAACACAGGACTTGCCCCATGTGCAAATGTGACATTCTCAAAGCTTTGGGAATTGAGGTAAGTATTACCACAGTACTTCTATGAAAGAACTTAATAAGTATGCTATGGATACCCAGGAAAATAACTTCCTTTTTTAAGCTATGTAATGTACCACATATATAGTTTATATCTAAAACTAGATATATTTACATCATAGTGATGTGAGGTGCCATTTTGGACCATCTCCATTTTCCTTCTTTCTCCTTCTCCTCAGATGTACTTATTATTTGGTCAGAATTTGACAGTGACCATATAAACTACCAACTTAGCACCCCTCTTTCTGTTTTTCACTCTATTATCACATAGTAGCCAAATGTCTAATAAAATGGGCATAAGAAAGCATAATAAATATTAAATTATAATTTCATATTTGATGAAAAGTTTGTTTTCAAGATAATAAAAGTCAAGCTCAACAAAATCTCTATGACTTGTAGAGATACACAGACAGTAATGATTCTCAGTCCCCCTAGGGCATGACATGATATATATGTATATTTTAAGGCCTACCTTGTACCAGCCATTATGTTATGAAGTGATGGCATCACCCAAATGAATGTATCAGATGTGCAGCCCATTGGTGGACCCACTTACTTCCCTCACTGGTACCAGCAAGAGATTTTTGTGATCGAAAGGGATTATAGGTTTCAAAGGTTAAGAAAGATTGCTGAAGCAGTCACCATGAAGAAACTTTGCAATGATATATCAAGGAAAATCATGTACTCTGAGAGTATTTTAATTTGTTCAAATACTTTTTAAAGGTGGATGTTGAAGATGGATCAATGTCTTTACAAGTCCCTGTATCAACTGATCCATCCAATAGTGTATCTGCCCATGAAGAGGATAATAGCAGTGAGACTGCTTCATCTGGATACGCTTCAGTACAGGGAGCAGATGAACCCCCTCTGGAGGAACATGTGCAGTCAGCGAGTAAGTACCAGCATATTGACTGGCAAGGAACGCTTCACAAATGATCTACTGTGGATATGTCTGTCTGAGTACTCCTGTTTTTTTAATCTAATAACACATTTCAGGTTTTTTCTACATAAAATTATACAATAAAGAATGCACCCCTACCAAAACTTAATCCACATACTATTCAAATGTACCTGAAATAGATGAGATGCACCAGGAGTAGGGATTATTCACAATAGAAATATTTATTAGAAAGCTTCTCTCTGAACCAATTAAATGTGGGCTTATTGACTACTTACTGGGGCTAAGGAGAAACTTTAAACTTTAAAAGTCATTGTCTACTACAAATAAATCTGAAAGTAAAATAAAGGAGTACTGGAGTGATAGAATGAAATTTGATTTGTAAAAGCTTGATTTATGCCAAGATTCCCAAGAGTCCATGTTCTTCAGATAGGAAACTATGATTTTCAGGATTCATGTGAATTAGCGCTACAATTTAATGATTTTATGCCAATGGAGAAATTTGAGAGAATTGTGTTACTCTTTTCCCAATAAAAAGAAAATTCCTATAAAATTATTTTCCCTTTCTTTAACCTCAAACTTTTTCACGTTTTTTGTTGGTTTGAAGGATTTTTTCTCAATCCTGGTTTTGAGATAATCATATGTTAGCATATGATTAGAAGAAACTAATAATCAAGGTGGCTTGTAAAAGTTTCAGCATCCTCTGACATAAAACTTGGTCTTTTGTAGGCGTGTCAGTACCATAGATACATTGCTGAAGATGTTACAAGGAATACTATCAAGAAATACTTGTATTTCTTGGAATTTAATTACCTTAGTTTCTTTTAATATAAAATAGTCATAGGAATCTTAATAATCTGTTGGATACTCTATCTATAATAATCATTGTCTATTTGCCCCAGACGATCTTGTGTTTCCATGGTTGTGAGGTCATAGAACTCAGTGACGATAAGGACAGTGTACAGGATAACTCGCTGCCCATGATAGTTTTTTTTTTTTTTAATCCCAATCTGCTGTTTTTTGTGCTCGGTTCTTGTGGGTGTAATTTGGGAGAAGAGGATAAGCAGGACAGAACTTGAAAAACAAAATGAAATGATGGTCAATATTCCTTCTTGTACTCTTTACCTAAATAAATGATAGTAATACTCCAAACCACAAACTATGGATACCATAAAGTTTTCCTCTCTCTGTCCCTACTGATTTTATATTCTTTTAATCAATTTTGCCCCTTAATTTCCAACTATAATTCCACAGTCATAGCTTGATTATGATTCTGCCCATTTCTTCCTCGCATTTTCTCACAAGAAATTACCTATTTCTTCCACTTTTACTCTCCCAAGAAGTTGGAGAAACCTACTGTCACTTTTGTTATCCCATTCAGTCTTTCCCCTCACTTGGGGTCCTACAAATTAAATATACACAAATAGTTCATGTCGATGTATCACATCATTGAGGTAAGTTCTATAGAATTCAGGTCTTTAAATTTAAGCATTCCTTGAATCACATGGAGAGCTTGTTAAGAGAGAGGCCACCACAAGGGTTTCTGATTTAATAGGTCTGGAGTGAGGCCTGAGAATTTTAATTTCTGTGAGTTTTCCAGGTGATACAGATGTTGCTTGTCCAAGGACCACACTTTGAGAACTATTGAATAAGCTCCTATTTGTCAGCCTTGGTTGTACATCACAATCATTTGGGAAGATTTTAAACACTACTGATGCCTGAGATCTACTTCAGAGCAGTTAAATCAGAATCCATGAGTGAGGGGCTGGGGATTTAGCTCAGCGGCAAAGCGCCTGCCTGGCAAGCGCAAGGTCATGAGTTCAGTTCCCTGTACCGGAGAAAAAACCAAAAAAAAAAAAAAAAAAAAAAAAAACAGAATCCATGAGTGAGGGATTGGGCCCAAGCACAGTGTAGTTTTGTTTTTCATTTTGAAATAATTTCAGATTGATTGACGAAAAAATTTTCAAAAATAGTACAAAGAGCTTCCATATACACGTCACCCCACTTCTGCAAGTGTTAGTACCTTATATAACCATATACAATGATCAAACCCAGGAAATTAATTGATATTATTAAACTACAGACCTTTCTTAAATTTCACCAATTAACCTATGAATGTCCTTTATCTGTCCCAAGATTCCATGTCGTGCTTACTGTCATTTCTCCTTAATCTCCAGTCTGTGAGAATTCTTCAGTCTTTGTCTTCCATGGCGATGGCACTTTTAAAGACTACTTCTCAGTTATTTTATAGGCTGTCCCTCAGTTTAGGCTGGCCTGCTGTTTCCTAATTGTTAAATGCATTATCTGTTCCTGGTAAGAACACCAGAGATGCAATGCTGTATCCTCCCCAATGCCCAGTATTATGAAGCATATATGTTCTTGCCTTATTACTAATGATTTTAACTGTGTCCACTTGGTCAGTGATAGTATCTGTCAAATTTCTCCCTTTGAAGTTAGTATTTTTTCTTTTGTAATTATTAAGTCTATTATAGAAAGACACCTGGGAACTACAGAAATATCCTATTTCTCATTGCTCCTTTAGTCACTAATTTTAGCAATTACTGAAGCTTCTAATTTGCAGTAAATAATATCAAAGTAGTTGCCAAATAGTGATTTTCTATTTCTGTCACCCTTTCTATATTTATCAGTTATCCTTTTAAGGTAAGGAAGAGCTGTTCTTCATTCTGTGTTATCCTCATGATTTACCCATTGCTCATACTGTCCTAGATTTGGTCACTGGGAATTTATGTAAATTGGGTTCTTTGTTCTTTCAATTTCTGTATTGTCTGGTACTGCATTAGTCTGGAATTAGCATTTTTTTCTCTAAAGCGCCAGATAGTAAATATTTTAGGCTCTGTGGGTCATAAATTTCTTCTTCATGTGTGTGTGTGTGTGTGTGTGTGTGTGTGTGTGTATGTGTGTGCTTGGGGAGGGGTTGGTTTGTCTTGTAGCCCTTTAAAAACCTGAAAACCACTCTTAGCTGTTGATTTGGCTGACCCTTAGACTAGAATCTAGGTTAATCTTGTATGCTCCTTGTCTTAACCCAAGAATAAGCCATTTCTTCAGGGGGTCTTTGATTGGAGAATGCTATTTCAAAACCAAGATCTAGGGGGCTGGGGATTTAACTCAGCGGCACAGCACCCGCCTGGCAAGCACGAGGTCATGAGTTCGATTCCCGGTACCAGAAAAACAAAACAAAACAAAACAAAACCAAGATCTAGGCACTAGGCATGCTTATTGCCACTAAGGTATCATTGTTACTGGCCCCTGAAATGAACAAGGGCAGGAAATACATATATGTACTTACACAAATACATATATACATCTAGAGCTCTATCTTCTATGTATGTATCTGTCTATCAATCAGTCAATCAGTCATCTCTCTGAAAAACAGTGAGGTTACACTGATACATCTGATTCTAGTCCAAAATCACAGGGTTCATTCTGGTCTCCCCCTTTCCTTATTTGTAACTCTTTCTCTGGCAGTGAAAGTAAAAAGGCTTTCCTTACCCAAAATATATTGACTCAATTGTTCAATTCTAGAATACACATAAATTCATTTCAGCATTTCTAACTCATACCCCGTGTAAAACAATTTTACTAACTAGAATACACTTCTTTTTGCTTTCAGCCACAAAGGATAAAGTCAAAATACTGTTTACCAAAGTTATTTCAGTTTAGTTCTTACCTTCCTCCCTTCTTTAGGATGGTTATATACGTCATTTTTAATACAATTAGGTCCATTTGTTGCTATGTATAATCCATATTGGGCACTCCTACCTTAATGGTTGATTTTTAAAAATCTATTTCTATTAGTTTATGTGTATTAAAGAACGTTGTTAATTTTTTAAGTGCCCAGGGAATAGTAATGTGCAGCCAGGTTTAAGAAGTGTTATATTTAGCACACAAAAGAAGTAAATGATATAACTTTTGCTCTTTATGAGGTGATAATTAATGTAGGTAGAAGTAAGTACACATACATGAATCGACACAGAGTAATTATAAATCAATACAATAATGTCATACCTGCTTTATGTAAAATGGGCCATGAATCATATAATTATTAAAGGAACAGAGTGTCATAATCAGAGTGTAATGGACTGAAATAAGTAAGGCTTCTTGTAAGGGAATGTTACATTTTGTCTTAAGAGAAGGGTGAAAGCATCCTAAATTTACCATTTCTTTTTAAAGATGAAAATCTACAGCTGGTAAACCATGAAGCAAATTCTGTGGCAGTGGATGTTGTTCCTCATGCTGACAACCCAACCTTTGAAGAAGATGAAACTCCTGATCAAGAAACTGCTGTTCAAGAAAATAAATCATAAGATCTGTGTTAACAGAAAACTTGAAATTTAGTAATTACAGGACTGCCAATCAGGACCTAGTTTACTATTAATGAACTGGATAAATTTAATAAAATAAAAATGATACTGAAAGTGCTGAGATGACTAATATTATACTATAGTTAAATGGCTTAAATATTTAACCTGTTAACTTTTTTTCCAGAAATACATTATAATGTTTTCACAGGCAAACCTCCTCTGAATAGTGATAGCAACATTTTTAAACATTCAAGACTGTCTTCAAGTAGTCATGTTTTTTATTTATAACAATTTTCTTATAAAAAAAACATGTTACTTTTAAAATGTGGAATAGCTGTAATCATTTTATTTTATGATTGTATCTTAATTAAAAATAATACTACTTTAGCTTGGGCAATCTGTGTCAGGGTTTTCTCCAGGTGCTTATATTGATCTGGAATTTTAATGTAAAAAGCAATGCAAACTTAGGCTAGTTCTTTATGAAATGTCTGTTTAAACTACATTAAGTTGATAGAACAAGATTAAAGCAAAATATTTAAATGTTTTCTTTTTAAAATTAGGCTAAATGTATTTTGCGTGTCAAGCATAGTTCATCAGAGAATATGGTCTGAATTGAGTGATATATTAGTGACACCAATTTGACACAAGATTATAGACAAAAAGCTTTCTTACAAAAATATTGTATAACTATTTCTCAAACTTCTGGGATTTTCAAAAGCACAGTATATAAACTACCATACTATTTGGAAATGGTAGTGACAAACTCATACATAACTTGCTAATTGATCTTTGTGCATGAATTAGTCTAATAAAAATGTTCTACAAAATTAGTCAGTAGACAATGTTTTCCAAACAATGTTGACTTCAAAAATTGAGTTTACATTTGGCCTATATGGGCTAAAATTACATTATGCTAAAACTCTGTCCATGTAGCTATAATTTTGTGAATGCATTTTTTTGGTGTTTGAAAAAAAATGGGGGTGGGAATTCCAGGTGCCTTAATATAAAATTTGAAGCTTCATCCACCAAAGTTAAGTAGAGCTATTTAAAAATGCACTTTATTGGTATTCTGCGTGGCTTGTCCTTTATTTTAGTTTTGTTTCCAATGCAAATGTCAGCAGAATTTAGACAAAAATAGAACAGATATGTATTTTTGTTTGCTGAATGTAGAATGGGTAAAACCATTGCATTCTTACACACTGATTTGAAATGCTGTAAATATGTCTCAATTTGTATTGATTCTCTTTAAATATCAAATGTAAATAAAATATTCCAATAAAAGTTTGTGTCTTGTGTTTAACTTACCTATCATACACTAACTTTTCATATATAATTTGCCTGGTTTTGAGAGAAAAAGTAGTGAGATGTAAATGATGACTGATATATTTGATTAATGAAAACTGTTTAGTATGACATCTATTTGTAGGTTTCAATATGTAGAAAGGAAGTGCTGCCATTTTATCACTTAACTGACCATGAATTAGTTCTACATATCAGCAAACTAATAAAGTTGATGAGTAATAATATATAAGTTTAAAAAAAGACCAAGATGTCAGTCCATATTTATGCCATTCATGACATACGGATCTTTAAGTATTTTAAATTTTTCTTTCACCCTTCTCTTTGGCAGTATAAGCATTAGGATGCTTTTAATAAGTTAAATGCATCTCCTTCCTTTGTCAAATGTGAAAAATATGCAGATACTTGGAGCACACCAGAACCATGATTATCAAGCCAAGTGTACACAAGTCTTACATGATAATATGTCAGGGACATGTGTGAGATACTTATATTTTTAGAGAATTAACTTTATTTCAAGTTTTGTGGGAGTTCTTTCAACTTTTTCAAATTTTACCAGCTGTATTTAAGTACAACCTGCATAAAAATCTACTCATTGTAAATGTACAGCTGGATGATGTTTACCAGATACAGTATACTGAGTATACCACAATCTCTAAACATTCCTCAATCCATTTGTAATTAATTCATGCTCCTACTTTCAATCTCTCACAATTACTATTGTTTTTGTCCATAAGTTTGCCTATTCTGGATATTTCATATGAACAGAATAATACAATATATAGACATTTTGTGACTGACTTCTCCTTAGCACAATACTTCCAATGTTCCTCCATATCATAGTATATATCTGTAATCCATTCTTTGTCATTGCTGGTTAATATTACATTGTATGGATACTCCATATTTGGTTGGTCATTTATCAGTTAATGAACCCTTGGGCTTTTCCAACTTTTTGCCATTATGGATAATGTACTGATGTACAATTCTTTATGTAGATGTGTTTTGGATTCATTTGGGTATATGAAAGGAGATAAATTCCACCCCACTTATGAATGTTCTTACTTCCTTCTAGTATCAATTGATATTTTTAACATCATCATCAGACTTTATATTATACTCTCACATGATAGTAAAGCTATAAGCTAATTCTTTCAACAGTGGCAATAGATAATATTTGTATCAGAAGTCTCCCAACTTAGGAAGGAGGGGTTTTCTCAGTATTTGTAAGTTTATAGTCAAACTCAGGCTATATTATCTTAAAAATATACATTATTCCAAGGAAAGAGTGAAAATATATTTATAGAGACTATCTGAATGCTAGGGACATTCCTTATTATTCTATATCTGTACTTTTTATTCATTATGAAATGTTTTAATTACAGAACTTATCACAATAGCCTATAACAATTTTGACTAATTACTTTGCTTATTACGTCTGTTTGTAGTGAATTTTTTATATTTTAAGCATATTAAATAATATAAAATTTAAATTAATAGTACAGCATGAGAGTAAATTTTTCATGACTATACTGGGTACTTTGACCTCCAGAAATCAATATTAATTACCCTCAATCATCAGATCGATTTGGTGGCAAGTCTGAGAAACTTTACTGCATAGTTCTCAACATTTTTCTCTGTAAACATAATCTCTCAAATGTGAGTCACTCACAGGAATACCTAGAATTTGATCATTTAAAGGATAGTACAACTAGGTCTTTGTACTGATGGTTAGTGGCAATTTCCCTCTCTAGCTGTAATTCCAAATGATATTCCAGTTCTCAACCACTACCACAGGAAACTTTAATGAATATGCCCTGGTATAAACCCTTTTTAAAAAGCAATTCAGTCATCTAAAATTTATTAAGAGCTTTTTATTTTAAAACATGCTGCCTCTGTAACTCTTAATGGATATTTGATTAATTACTCCCAATTTTCAAATAGTGTTTTTAATTTGCTTGAAATCAGTGCTTCTAAAACTTTAAAGTGCCTACAAATTACCTGGGATCAAAATGTACATTCTGATTCAGTGGATCTAATATGGGGTCTGACATTCTGAATTTCTTGCAAGACCTCTGATGATCAGATATTGATTCAGAAAGCATACTTTTTTTTTTTCAGAAAGCATACTTAGAGTGGCAAAGCTTTAAATGGTTCTCCCCTAACAGTACTCAAGCTTTGAAGCGTACTGCTTCTGTACCTAATATACACTGCACAAAAGTATTAAGTAACCTACTGAACTTTATTTAAAATAAGAAGCCAGTGAACTCCTGAATGGCAGCCTCAGCTTTTCCATAGGTCTTGGCATTGGTATTGAAGGATTCCTAATACCTTTTCTCATAGGTGTTTGAGGCTTTGATTTAGAAGACTGAGCAAGCTGAAGTACTAACCTCTGGATAAGTGAAATATTATTTATCTGTGCATGTTATGTTACAAGGTCCATAAATATTTGCCTTGGATAAATCAGAAAACAAGAATGGAAGCAGACAGATGAGCTGAAAAGCAACTGTAATAATATAGCAGAGAAAGAATGGGAGGCTAATCTAAAGCCATAATAGAAAAATGGGATGGACTTTTGAAAACACATACACACACATGTGCATGTGTATGTGTGTGTGAGAGAGACAGAGACAGAAACGAACAAACTGGTGGAGGTGGGGAAATAGGAACTAGAAAAAAAAAAAAACCTTAAGATTATTCCAGGATTGTTAGTAGTGCTTAGAACCAAGAGGACCTAGTAGGAGAAACAACAGCAAGCACAGAGGATTTTGGAGAAATAAATTGGGCTTTCAGATATTCATGGACCATGTGCATGAACAATGTAGTGTTTTGATTTGTAGTCAGATAAATCTAAGTTCTAGGTTCAAATCCCATTTCTGCCATTTGCTTAGCTTTGTGATCTTAGAATAGTAACGTCTCTGAAACTTCACCTATAAATATTAAAAATGTATAAGCTTATTAATGAAAGTAATGCTACAGCATATATTAAGTACCAGTACAATACTAACAATGATAGTAAAGGCAATTTGCAATCCTAGTCCTCTATACAACTTACATTAACATACACAATTGAACAGTGAATAGTGACATTTTCTTTCCAAAGGTGCTTTCAGAGAAATACTTTTATTTGCAAAGGCTTGAATAAATTGTTTACGATCAAGGCAAAATTTTACACAACAGAAGTAACTCAATTTGAAAAAAAATATTTTCTTTACATAACATGAAATATTTATTTACTAAAACAGGACCTCTCTAAGTGCCCTGCTCTGGGCCAGATGGTAGGCCTGATTCCACAACAGGAAGCATGTGAGTAGATCTGGATGGAACTGCAGAATAAAGAAGCAAAAAAAACATCCAATTCTGAATATCCCTTGCCACAACTATAAGGATTTTGGAAAAGAATGTGGTTTGATGAGGACAGAAATTTAAAAGGGGAAGAAAAAGTCAAAAGAAATGGGGACACTTCACATCTCTTTATATTCGCAGCATTTACTTGTCTTTCACCAGGAAGATTAGAAGAAATGATCTTCCTTAGTGTACATCCAAATTGGGATGTCTTTTCCCAAGCATACACTGCAGTCTGGCTTTAGGAGGATTGCCTGTTCCCATACTCTCCAGAGGGCTGCCTTGGGACTACTTACCGTCTTTTTTTTTTTTTTTCTTTTTTCTTTTTCTTTTTGAAACAGGGTCTCGCTATGCAGGCCGGCCTTGAGCTCAGCTTTTAGCCCAGGCTGGTCTCAAACTCACAACCATCCTCCTGCTTCAGCCTCCCGAGTGCTGGGATTACAGGCGTGTGCCACCACGCTCGGCTTTCTTACCGTCTTTTAACAGAAGAGAACCCCAGATTGCCCTTTTTCTCTCCACAAGAAAAACCTGTGCTTGTAGCACGCACCTGTTTCACTAGAGATGGGCCACATTTTCGAGGGTTAAACCAGGGAAGCTCCTTCTGGACAGAGTTCCTTGGCACGAGGACTTGAAATCTGCACGTGCCCCACCCATAGGTTTGTTTTTGTTTGGGTTTTCTGTTGTTGTTTTGTTTTTTGTTTTTGAGGAACTTTTTGTTTTTTGTCATAGGGCCTTGAGGCTTCATTCTCAAAACATCTTGCCAAGAACCCCTTGTTGGTACATCACCTCCCAACTCTTCCTTTCTGTAAACCTGATTCCTCTTTTGGTGCACCCTTTAACTCGGGAGACCAAAAGGGTAGTAAATAAAGGCAGTACTCATTGCTCACAACAATGTCATGCAAATTACTGACTTCATTCACCTTAGTGCTTAAGTAGTTGTGCACCACTGCCAAGATACAAAGAGGTGAAGGCTGCCCTTCTGGGGTTTGTTTATTAAAGAGCTTAAAGAAAGAAAATTATCCTGATAAATTGCTTAGATTCGAAAAGGAAAATTGGACTAGAGATTTCCTGTGGCTTATTACAATAGTTACACAGAGGCGGCAGTGAGGGAAAGGAGAAGGGCATGGCATGAAGAAATTATGTGTCTTCCGGAGATTTTATGTTCTTTCTCTATGAGCTGAAAGAGCTCAATCTTGACAAGACTTTTGAATTTAGGTAAGGAATTGTAACACTGTCTCTCTGACCTTGAATAAATCTCCTCACTAGTTAGTGCTTTCGTTTATTAACGTGAGAAGTGGCGAAGATCTACTTCACAGACTTCTGTGTGTATTACCTGAGATCCCCTGAGTACTAGACCTAGTTAGCGCTAAATGTTGGTTGCTGCTACTGCTGCTTCCAGGAATGAGTGGTTTCTCTAAAATTCCAGAAACTTTGTGGGTGTCCTTGCTGTAAAACATTGAGGAGCAAGCAAGCAATACCTTTCTACTTAGGATCACTTATTTGACCAACAACAACAACAAACCCTTAAACTTTAGACAGGCAACACACTTAACTGGTGGCGGGACCGGCTTTGAAAGCATCCCCCACCCAGTACTCGCCCCAATGTATTGTGGGAAGTGTAGTCTGGAGCCGTAGTT